TTAGAGTCAAACCGAATTAACGTCTTCAGGCTGTTTAAAGATAGAAGTTATGATGTCAAAAATGACAAGGAAATACGACAGTGGTTTGGCCGAACGAAATAATTAGACCCCCGAAAGACGTGTATTGAGAGAGAATGAATGGAATGGCCAACAATAGACTTTCCGCATAGTATACACGTAATACGTTCGACAGAGATTAGAGATGCATTAAAAATCCATTACTGCGAAAAGAATTAGGTACGGATTTCGACCGCTTTTGAAAAACTTTTCCCTACAAAAAATCGTCCATATTACGTAAGATAGATTAAAAATGTTACTTCACTATATACCTACATACGTAAGTATATAATTTTGTATAGGTACTAAGGATCTTTCCACTTTCAACTAGTTACAATAGGGTAGTTTCCTAAATATTATTTGAATGTCCGTCTGGTACATTAATTTAAAACTTTAGACACGTATTTAGTCTTTTCTAACAAAATTATATACTTTCGACGATATATTAATTTGAAATATCATGTGACGTCACAGCGTGTCACGTTTTGTAGCACGTTATGACGTAACGATCTCGCACTCCGAAACTTAGCGCCATTTTATCTAAGCATTGCAACTTAATACGAGAAAATAAAAAAATACGTGTCCAATATTTCTTCATTATCTAACTGACGGACTAATTAGATTTTAAATTTTGATACCCTGGAAACTACCCAATCGCTGCGAAATCGAATATGTGTTCTATAACAAACATTTGATAATAGTGTCTTTAAAACGGGTCTTCTCTTTACTGATTTTTACTAAAATAAAATAAAATTCCAAATAAACCTCTAAGACTAATTTCTACTGGTCCCAAGAGACATTTAATTCAAGAATATTTGAGCAAAATCAATACAATTCACAATATCAAATAATGAATTGTAGGGGTGAATGGCACGACACTGAATCTATTCGACAGAGGTCATCTATTCGATGTTCCAACAATAGTTTAGAATAGTTGCTTTCAGACTTTTGTATAGGGAATTTAGAATTGTAAGCTGTTGTATTTGTTAGCCATTTAATGTCTGTAGATTGTTATATCAAGGACGGTGGAAATCTTCAATATGTACGGATTATACCTGCTTTTATAGCAACTGTATAATGGCTAGACTAGCCTCATTTACAATAAGGATAGATGCTATCACCGCTAGGGGGCACTAGAGAGAACTAAGGCCCAGTAGACAATTGGCTGACATCGAACAACTACAGTGATTGGACAAATAGCATATCATGATCTAATCGTACAATGGTAGTCTTCACTGGTCTAAATAACCGTCGAAACATGGATGCTCTATATTCTATATGTAATTCTCTGTCCGGATATTTTGGAACAGATGTTATAATGTCATTACGCAATATCCACTGAGGAATAAGAGCGGTTGAGGACTTAAACCTATCGATTTCTCAGCCATTTGTATTCCTAAAAGGTTCTTACCATCTTCGCCACGTTATCAGGATAAAAACTTCCAATTTCTTGCTTCAAAAAAACCTTAATCTCAATATGGTAGTTGACAGGTAGTCAAATTCAATACTTTTGGTAAATTGTCAAAATGAATGAGAGTATGATTATTTTTTAATTATTTATTGCATTGTAAAGTTGAAACAATTTATTTTAAGCCTAGGAAACTAGCCAATTATAAAGACTGGATCCCTTAATTCTTTGTATTGTAACTTTCGTGAGATATACCTCTACTAAATAAATTATTATGTTTTCGGCTTACTCAAGTCACGTAGTAAGTATGAGTAGCAGCGCGACGGTCGCCGCGTCGCGGGTCGCGAAATGCTGCTCATGAATATGAGCCTCTAGCATGGCTTGAAACTAGTCGAGTTCCTCGTCAAATTACGTGAGTAAGCCGAAAACATAATAATTTACCCATAATTCTTCTTCTTACACTTCTTATTTATGATCAATCTCTGTCAAAATCGGTTCCGTAATGTACTTGAATAAGTTTGTCAAACAAACAGACAAAGATACTTACTTTGACAGTGAGCAATCTTGTTTTCTTTCCCTCCATCTGGACAATCAATTTCGCGCCCATGTCCTTTTCTCTGTAACAAAGAATTAAATAATATTAGGATCACATGATATGCAACTTAGTATTGGTGCCAGATAATTACGAACTACGGCCTATAGTTTTTGTGCACTATTATAGCAATACAAGACTGCACGGTTGATGCACTGGTTGGGCAACTGGCTGCCGCGCAACGTGTCGCAGCGCAGGTTCGATTCCCGCACGGAACAACTCTTTGTGTGATCCACAGATGTTGTTCCGGATCTGGGCGTCATGTGTATGTGAACTTGTATGTTTGTAAACGCAACCACGACACATGAGACAATCCTAGTGCGGAAGCGGAACCATTTAAAAAAAAATCACAAAGATTGTCGATACGAAAAATCAGGGATTAAGTTAGAGAGCTTATACTCGGAATTTTAATTTGATTCCAGATTTGACAATTTCAGTGTTGCAACGTTATGACAAGTACTAAATAGTGGCGTTGCGAAATTATTCGATATGGAATATTTCTGGATCGATTATTCTCGTTTATAATTTTACTCTCGTAAACTAGGTATATTAGGAAATTAAATATTTCTGAACCTATAATTTGGTTTTGACGATTAATTAACGATCTGAGACTTTTCTTTTATAGATGTGTGTGAAATAAATAAAAAAATTTAACCATGAAGAAACATGACAAATAAAACAGATAGATGTAGGTATTATGGTAATAATTTATTTTATAAATTGTCGCCGTCATCGCTATCGCTATCCTGTCACTTTCTGTAACATTTATTATAAAACACACACACTGATTGTTTATCGATTTTTGTGTTCATCACTACACTATTATACATATGTATGTGGTATGTGGTATCATTATTTCACAAAATTACAGTAGCTAATGTGAAATCTGGAATCGAATTAAAATTCTGACTATAGTAACTAACACATATGATCTCGTATTTTGATACACTTCCTAAGTGCCTTACGATACAGATAAGGTTCATTATCATTACTGCCTCGTTGACCGAGTCGTCGCAAGTGCAACTGCCGGGCAAGGGGTCTGGGGTCCGATTCCCTGGCCGGGCAAAGTACTATATACTGGGTTTTAAAAAAAATCTCAGTGGTAGCATGGAGTCTGGAATTATGCTCGGTATATGGCAATGTGTTCATCCCCTATTACACGGGACTCATAACATAAATAGTGAAAAGTGAGTGTTACATTGTACAGTGGCATTAAGTACCGTAATATGCACCTCTGCATACCCCTTAAGGGATAAAAGGCGTGTTGTTATGATTCATCATCATTAACATCAGCCAATACCTGAAGTGGTGGACTATGGGCTTCATCTATATAAAACAGTTTGTCATAATCTCCACGCTAGACTAATTTGCCTAGCGATATTCTATAGCGTAGAACAAGAAAGCAATTGAATATATTAAACCTTCACCGTGCGAGAAGAGGCCTTTGGTCAGCAGTGGCCGCTTATGGGATGTTGATGTATGTAAAATAGAGGGTGTTTCTGAATTAACAACTACTTAAAATGTCTTTTCATAATAAGATAAAAATGTGAATAATTTGGCTACATTTTATCAATTCAATAATGCTTATTCACAGTATTGATCAATTTGTCTCCGAGAGCGGAATTTTGAAACTTATGTTGCAATGTCTGGCATTGAACTGTTAAATTAAAATTAAAAGCTTATTGCAAGCATTGTGATTGTGTTACGAGATAATTAATACTTTTATAGTAGGTATAGACATTCGCTAAACATTTTTATTTATTTTAATTTTACGATTCTCTTTGACTTTGGAGTATTTTGTCCAGATTGTGGCGTCTGAATTTGTTTTGGGTGTATCTTTTTGCCCACTTCGCATACAAGGGGATGCGGGTTCGAAACCTACCAACGGCAAGTATCAATGTGACTTTTACCGAGTATTTTGTACTTTCTAAGATTATCTAGACACCACTGACAAACGGTAAAGAAAAACATCGTGTGGAAACCTGGACTTATAATTTCTAATTATAAGTTTGTAATCGCCAACCCGCATTGAGCAAGCGTGGTGATTAATGCTCAAACCGTCTCCGCGTGAGACGAGGCTTTGCTCAGCAGTGGGCATTTATAGGCTGTTGATGATGTATCTTGTCGGAGTAGGGAAGTAGTTCGGTAGGAAACGCAGAATTATAATGCTAGTCTAATAAACACTATTTATTAGAGTAAACAAGAAGATATGCAAAGTTCTTTGGCGCCGCCAAACCGACATTGTGGTTTTTTAAACCGGATATGTGTGCAATTTCCCTTCGGTACGCAATGGCGCGCTGTCGCCATTGTACAGAAGCGGAGACTTCGCACTTCCGGCTTCCGGCGGTGACTAATACACAAATACGGTTCCCATGATACCCAAGTAATGGAGTAGGAAACTTTTGTACACGAATTTACATAAGGTAATAGATTTCATACAAATCAGCCAAAGTTTGTAGCAAAAAAATTTCAGTATTTCGCTCCAAAAGAGGTTTAAATATATTCTGCCTCTGTAAAAATCTCGTTTAGTTTTTACGCGAGTTTTGTTTACGAATCTCTTCACTTTCCAAACTTTGGGTTTTACGCCCCAATAATCAGAAGTAACTAAATTTTAACTACCGTTACTTGGTCTCATACTGTCCCCATTGCTTTCCGAGGTTTCGAATTAATTCACGTGATTTAATGCAGGTTTTATTTTCAACCCGCATTCAGTAACCGTGGTGATTAATGTCTTGTCTATCGATATATGAGACAAGCGTAGATCTGAGCTTGCTCAAACCTTCTCCGTGCGAGAAGAGGCCCTTTATCAGCCACTGCTGCATCACAGCCTATAAATGCCCACTGCCACTTAGAGGCTGTTGATATTGATTGGTGTTTATTTCCAACAAAACCTTCTTTTTTATATAAAAACGTAGCCCACACTAGAGTTTTCTCCTGTGTCGTTGGTGCGTTACATACACATCACACCCAGACCCGAAACAACAATTTGTGGATCACACAAGGTGTTGTTCCGTGCGGGAATCGGACCCGCGACACGTTGCACGGCAGCCGGTTGCCCAGCCACCGCACCAACCGTGTAGTCTTCTAAGTGTAGCTACTAGCTATACAATTTAATAAGTGTAGATGTTGTGTTTTTGGGTACAGGTCTACATTGAGCAGTATTAACATTCCTGATATGATAACACATTATGATAGTGATAAAGCGGCTAGATTCACAGCGAAAAGTGCAGTGCGCCAGATTGTATGGCAAGCAATTTTTACGCAGGATTGATTAAAATGTTATCTGCGTATTTTCTTGTAAATACTACCTCTAAATACTCTCTATTTAAAGGCTGTTAACGGATATAAATAATAATATACCTAATATGTCATCTACTAAACTTCCAGTTTCAATGGAGCTAGGACATGAATCGGTTCTGTTCTGACTAATCGTGTCATTGCGCACACTCTTGCGCAGTACATCGCCTGCGCAGATCTCTGTAATCTCAATGAGATTAGCCGCCATGATAAAACGCGTATACACTATGAAACGTAGAAAGCATTTCAAAACATTACTTAGTATACTTCGGTACTCTTTACGATTACGGACTATTAAGGATATTGGCCCTTTTTTTTTTTTTTTTTTTTTTTGATGACGGGGGGAAACCTTCAAAAGGCGCCCAGCCTTTTTGGGGATAAAAGACTAGGGAGTGTGGGATTTTTACCTCACTAAAACCACCCCGGTGGCCACCCTCAACACGTTTATTCAAGGATATTGGCCCTAGGTTCAATTTCCGTCATTAAGGAAAATAATATAGGCTTTCACAATTTATATTCGGTGTACAAATATAAAATAGAACTTAAACTGTCAAACACCAAGCGGTCACCGGTGACCGCAACCTATTGTTCTATAATTGTGTCTACAAAACCGGTACTCGACGAGTTAAGATAATCAAGTGAACATAATAATTAGCAAAGATAACGATGTTTTGTAGGTAAATATACAAATACTTGGCGACAGATGTGACTCATATCAACTACATACACTATGTCGTTATCAAAGCAATCAACATTATGTTTTTATTTTTGTTGCTCGCTTGAATCAGCTTCTGTTGTTGATCAGAAATGCTTTGTAATCGCCTACGAATTGTACTTAATTGTACATATGTAGTTAAGTTCGCAAAATTTGTATTCCCACGTGTAAAGTGGTTAGTTCTAACTGTCTCGCCCACGTCAGGCAATATCGTAAAGAGATATCAAATATTCTATTATTACCTGCCTCGAGACTTACTGAATCTTATATTCTATTATATATATGCTTATATACTATTATATAAAGCGGAAGAGTTTGTTTTTTATTTGTTTGTTTGAACGCGCTAATCTCCGTAACTACAAGTCTGATTTAAATAATTCTTTTTGTGTTGGATAGTGCATTTATCGAGGATGACTATAGGCTATAAAACATCACGCTACGACCAATAAGAGCTGAGCTGAGCGTGTGAAACCGCGCGGAAGTAGCTAATCTTATATATGTATACGCTATTATATACAGCTGAAGAGTTTCTCTGTATTTGAACGCGTTAACCTCAAGAACTAGTGGTCCGATTGAAAAAAATATTTTTGAGTTAGATAGTGCATTTATCGAGGAAAGCTATAGGCTATAAATCATCACGCTATGACCAATAGGAGCCGAGCAAAGCGAGAGAACCCGCGCAGAAGTAGATTGTTGGACTTTTTTTAAGGGGGAGAAATCGACTGGTACAGATCGCCATATGGCTATATGTCTGCCTTAAATGTGCCATTATTGTATTGTTTGTGTATATCACATCACATCACATCAATCAACAGCCTATAAGTGGGCACTGCTGACCAAAGGCCCCTTCTCGTGTGGACAAGGTTTGAGAGCCTTAAGTAATCACCATACTTGCTCAATGCGGATTCGGGTTGCGGGTTGTTAATATAAATAAAGTTTAAATAAATAAATACTTAGGTATATGAGAATGAGAAAATTCTGTACTTCAGCTAGTGTACATAGTTTGTTAGAATTTAAATAGCACACAGCAGTAAATCTAGTTTATAATGCTATATATTCTGTTATCAGTAACACATAGATATATAAGAGTATATAGACACTACTGGGTTACATATCTGATAACATCATTTTGTTGTGGCTGTGCTTGAATGAGAGTAAATTATCTATAACTACAATAGTTGTATGCCCCATACAAGATACAGAATTTTAAGGAAAGTCGGTATGATGAAATTTGGTATACAAGCAAGGAATGGGCTGACTTATGTGATAGGATATTTTTGATCCCATATAAATGCTCCTATAGGATAAACCAGGAATCATATTCTATGTGAACTAAGTCGCAGGCAACAGCTAGTATATAAAGTAATATAAAGTTGTGTATGATGATACTTTAACAACCAGTTATAATGCAAGCAGTTTTTACACTCATCATTAGTAAATAAGAGCTCAAATACAATGAATAAATAACACTTTAACATATTAATTGCCACATATTATTATAATTATGTCATTGACTAATGCTTAGCAGAGGACTTGCCAGTTGAACAGTTTTCTGTCTGCAGTCAAAGGCTATTCTTAACAAGATAAATAAAAAACACATTGTATATAGTTGAAATTAGCCATACGTTAAAAGTAATACATGAAAAAACAACAGTTACTCCTTTATAATGTATGCACACACAACTTAATACTGTTTTGTGATCTGTGGTATAACTGTTGTCTTCATAAAATGTATATTAAGATGAATAAATTAATACTAATACACATCTTATGAGCAATTAGTAATGAAACTTTGTTTATGGCGGAATAAGTATCTGCTAGAAATTGTTTTTTTTTTTTTGTTTTTTTTTAAATGTTGCCCCACACTAGGATTTTCTCCTGTATTGTGGGTGCGTTTACAAACATACACATCTGAAAAACTTCTTTATTTATTTAGCCTATAATGTACGCAGTTTGATTAAATATAGGCACATAGGGCGAACTTAATGGCATAATTATAGCATTCTCTACCAGTCAAACTTAGGATGAAAATAGAAATCTGCAAGAAATAAAGTATGGAGAATAACAGCAAAAAGAAAAAAAATTATAAGTAATACTAGGCAAATGTGTTTAGGTTGTTTCAAAAACTTAATGTGTGTGGCTTTTAATACAGGATGTAGGAAAATGTTATTACAGATTCTCGCTAATAACAATCCACCAACAATACACTAAACCTAATAAACATATATATAAACTTGATAGATCAAGTTTTCCTTCTTTTTGTTAACTATGAAAAATGCCTTATCATAGCTGATTCAAGTGAATTCCATTCTCATGTATGTACACAAAAATATTTTTCTTTTTACAGATATTCACACCCATTGAATAGATTTTTATAAGAGTTTAATTAGATTCTAATTTGGTGTTGTTCTTAACCAGCGAACTGACACAGTGAATAAAAATTCTCATTAGACTTGAAAAAATAATAAATTAGCTGCAGTTTCATACAATTTTGAAAAGGATCTTTAATCTTTACAGAAATCTTTTTCTGTTGAGATAATCACTCATAGCTTATAAAATATATATTTTTATTTAATAAATTACGGGATAATTAATACTAATAAAAACAATAACGAAGTGCATTGTAAACAGGAACTCTGTTATGTGCCATTGTTTACAATACTTGAGATGATAAACAGACAAACAGCATTCCAACATCTATGCATGCATACTACTGACTACACTGCTATTTAATTCTTCTTCATTTAGGTCAAAATCTTTTTTACATTTTTTCGACAACTTTCATCTAAACGGCATACCCGAGTTACAGTTTGTGCTCCAAATGCAACTGAACCGTGAAAGTCATTGTCATTTAACATGACATCATTGCTTTTTTACACTTTCAAATGCCATGAAAAACTTTACTGTTTTATCAATTTAGGACTGTACTCTACACGTTCATAATCTCTCATATCATACCAACGAACACTATAAACAATATAATACATTAAATTATCAACACAATGCGTCAGAACCAGTGAAACATAATTATTTTATACAATACGTAAACTCCCCCAAAACAATGGACAAAAATTGTACTTTCCTGAGCACTATATTCACTAACCTTTGATTGAATGGGCGAACCCTTACAGCCACTTTCACCGAAGCCATTGTCACACATTATATTGTCAATAGTTTCAATTTTATTTTAAAATTACATCTAACCACACAAATACGACACCACAAAGCGAGTTGACATTTTTACTTTGATTGACAACTTGCGAATGACGTTGCAATACGGAAAAATATATGAATGAAAGTTTTATTTTGTCAATTTGGTAAAAAATATCACTCATGTAATTATTTATTTGAATAATACTCAGTGAATGCGAATTTAACAACAGAATAATAACTGCTAAATATAAATGCAAAAGCCCGCGAAAATGGTAAGGAGATTTAGAGGTACACCAACATTAACAAATGTTTAGTCGAATTTATGTTCAACGAAGCATTAACTTAACTTTATATGAAGGCAATGATGCAAAGATTCGTTAATCGGTTGTATCTTCTGTAAGCTATTCAAATAATACAGAGAATAGAGGTAATTAAATGTAAAATATTTATTTTGTTTCGTTTAATTGACATTAAATCGATTAGAATTGAGAGAAAAGAAAATTGAATAGCATGCCTTCTCGGCATTACTAACGCACTACTCTACTCCTGTCAATTTTCTGTCGTTGTCGTCAGGAAAGGTTAGAAATTTTAAATCGATTTTTATAAAATAATTGGGTAAATAAGTTAGAATATTAGTTTTTTTCAGCATATGTATCCTCATTAATAATTAAAACATTGAATTGTCGATAGAAAATGTCATTAATCATTATTTACTGTTGAAGGTAAGTTTGGGGTAACATTACATAATAATGTGTGTATGTTCTTCCGTCAGATAGTCAACCAGCACGATGTCGGACGCCCCAGGCCGCCCCATGAAGTTCCCCTACACTTTCAGCGCCAAACTGGCGCAGTTCCCCATGAAGTTCTACGTCCAGAACCAGTGGATCTGGAAATACTGGATGATCGGAATCGTTGTCTCCACCCCCGTCTTCTACAAGATCCACAAAATGGGTACGTTACCATTAATCGTATATAAAACTAGTATTTTACTTATAAGATTGTCTTGTACAGTATTTTATATTTTAATCCGATACTAGTAGAAGCCAATGAACATGACTATAAAAACTGTGATAATTTGCCAGCATTTTAACAGTCAGATAAATAATCTATTGCATTTCATAAGGATCATTACAATAATGGCTTCAAACCTTTGATTTGATAATTCTTTACTGAAACAAAATTAATTAGAAATGTAGTTATACAAATGAATTCAGCAAATTCTAATATAATTTATGTTACAAGACCTTCAATTTCATTTCTGGGTCAAGTAAACAAACAAGTAAATATGATGTAGGAATCAGATTAACATTCATTGGAACCCTACCTGATTAAATTGGTTGGGGAACCAATACATGTGAAGTTTAATTACTAAGCCTAAACGGTGACTATTATAGTAATAACTAATATTGTATTTGGTAAAATATAGTAGAAACTATTTTAACGCATTGAAAATTGTTGAAAATCATACCCTAAATTTGTTGTAAAAAAAAATTTCTATACTGTAGTTAGTGGAAGATTGGTCACCGGTGACCGCTTGGGGATATATGGGTTAAAAAAAGAGATTTGTATCATTGAAGTCTATGGTAATGTAAAGTTAGCATATAGATCCCATCCTTTTCTGCTTACTTCCTAATGAATTAGAAATGTAATATTATCATACTAGGTAATGTCATTTAAACTGTCAAACACCGCGAGGACACTGGTGACCGCCTATTGTCCTTTAATTGTGTGTATAATGACAGTACTCAATGAGTTAATATCTCAACAAAGAAAATCTCATCTTTGGGACACTTTTTATATTGGTAATATTCTCTTTTCAGCCAACTCACCTGCAAACGTCAGCAAATGGGCTGAGATCAGGAGGAAGGAGGCAGCCGAGCACCACTAATTTAGCAAGATCAATAAGTACTGGGTTATAAGAACCAACTTGTGTGATTTATTTATGTTGTAAGCGAATATTAAATCATGTAATAGTTATATTTTGTTTCATTGTGTGTGTGTGAATGTTGCTAGTTACAGAAATTTTACATAATAACATAACTTCACGCCTTTTTATCCCCGAAAGGCACATTACGGCACTTAATGCCACTGTACAATGTAACACCCACTTTTCACTATTTAATGTAATAGGGGTGAGCCTATTGCCATGTACCAGGCACAATTCAAGACTTTGTGCTACTACTGAGATTTAAAAAATAACCCAGTAATACTATGCCTTACCTGGGAATCAAACTCGAGACCCCTTGCCCGGCAGTCGCATATGGGCATATAATACATACAAGGCATTCAAGACAAAAATTTTGGTTAATTCGAACAAAAGTTGTAGTCCCTCAACAACTCGTCCCTCGCATCCATTGACTTCCCGCGATTATGATGTCCAGTCCACCATAGCGACCATGTAATGCAACACACTGGACATATTGGGTAAAAACCAAATGAAGACATTAATTTGACTTGACCGTTATTCGAAGCTTATTTAATTGAGATAGGCCTTCCGCTTCCCTCCTTCCGCTTTTCCTGTATGTCTATCTCTTTCTACTACGTCACTTCCATTTGGCAGTGGTGGGGAGGCTTGCTAAGAGAGACTCGCCATTTTTATTTCATTGAGTCTCATATATCCTGAGGGTTTCAGATCAGCTGTGATCTGAAAAAATTTAGTGGATAGTTATCCTTTTGAGGCGATCCTTTCTAAGATGTGTGTGCCTTTGTATGTCACCTTTTTATTCAATACAGACGATTAGAAAATTAGAAACGAGGCAATAAAATACCTCAGAAATATATAACATCTGTTTTTGTTCAGATCAAATACAATTATTATTTCATTGAGTCTCATTACCAGGCAGAGCTTGACTATAAGCTTCGAATAAGGTAAGTAAATTAATATGCGTTTTATTGGTAGGTAAAACGCTTCCATTAGTTGAAAAGTTAATTTACCTTAACTCGTCGAGTACCGGTTTTGTAGACACAATTATAGAACAATAGGTTGCGGTCACCGGTGACCGCTTGGTGTTTGACAGTTTAAAAGTAAAGTACAAGGTAGGTAAATTATAGAAAATAAAATAAACACAACAACTGTACGTGGGTGCTTTATTCACTACCGTATAAATTAATATAAAACTTATAAATTACATAAATAAATAGTTGCTGACAAAATGATCATTATTATTGGAAAAACAAATCACTGTGAACAATCAGATATTATTATTATAGTTATCATGTAGGAATGCACTGGTACGATTTATTTATTTGCACAGTCAACCACTCGCCTATTGAGGCCAAGTTAAATTCTATTACAGAAATAATACTAGACGCAAATTAAAAAAATAGCAAAAATATAAAATGCAATGTAACTTGTGTGGCTGACTGTAGTTAAGACAAGGTTGCCATAAAACAAAATTACAATCATATTAGTGAATTCGAGTATTGATTAAAATTGACGACATAAATACAGAAACGCGTTAAAAATAGCAACCACTGCCAAGAAATAAAGAATACAATTATTTTTGGTTCCCTAATAATATCAAATTATAATTAAAAAAGCGGCTATGCCCTTGTAAAAAAACCAATGCTGTTTCAACTAAAAAAAAAGAAAACAAATAAAATTTAGCAAAACAAAACACAACTTTGAGTTCGATTGATCGAAGTTACGAGATTAGAAAATAAAAATTACGTTCAAACATCTCGAGAGGACAGTGACAACATAATTTGGTCACATCTAACTTATGCACTAACAAATTTTTAAAACTAAAACTAATGTCTAGGGGTGTGTACACAATGGCGCATGACGGCTTCACTCACAGATCACGCAAGCAATTTTTAATTAAAGCCATTGGGCACGTCAGCCGCGAAGTTGACTAATGTGCTACTTTATTTTTCACAGATTTCTTCATAATTTATCGACATGCAAGCAATTATATTGTACAATGGGGTCTCAAACAGCACATTAGTGTTACAATAACAATGACAACGTCGAACACAAGCCTTTAACGTCACGATATAATTAAAATCAGTAACGAGGTTATTAAATGCAGTCGGCAAATTAAAATCAAGACTTATTTTAGCGAATTAACAACATCTTGTCTATGTTTATAATAAGTTTATTTGTATTTTGTTGATAATCATCTTAATACAATCAAAAATAGTGTTTCTCACCCAAACTGTTTGACTTAAATTGGTATGATTGTTCCAAGCTGGCAATTATTCCATTAAATTGTATTTATTATTTTATTAAAGCGACAATCACCAATTAGAACATGCTAACCAAAGTTAATCGTTATTTAAAAGCCACGAATAATAATAATAATCGAGAATCGTAACCATACAATTTAACAGGACAACATTTACATACATATGGAATGAATTCTTTTAATATCCAACTACTCAGGGCGTTTAGATTCAAAATAGGAAATTAAAAATTAAATGAGAACTTGATTTTGCCACTAGACGGCACTGGTGTAGCGTAAGATACTTAGAACAAAATCCTGTTGTCAACCCTGTAAACTTTGACACCCTGACTTGACGTTGACGTCCAGGTGACTGGACCGTACGGTACACGAGCGCTATCTACTGACCAAGCCCTCGTTACGTTGCATTATCAATAATATGCGTAACGTGTTACAGGACACGTTACAAGTACATGTTGCGTCTGGAATAAGACATAACGGCGATAACGCGAAGTTGTTTCAATATTCACAATTTTGTCTAAGAAACCGAAATTGCAAAAATAATGTAGAATGTAGCTCTCATGCATGACCAGTATAAATGATATAATATTTTAGAATAAGGTAACAGATATATTTTTCAAACAATAGCCGGGTTATTTCAGTACTTATATTTGTGCTACTAATATATTTGACACTACAATATAATTTGATATACCTCAAATTCTATACAAGTACAAAATATTTACACAATTTTATATTTAGTGTTTGTACATTACCAATTAGTTAATTATATATTATGTGTAAAGCTTTCTTCAGGGGTATTATATATGATAATTGATAGAATAAAGCAAAATCCATACAACAAATTTTTCAATTTAAAATCTCGACAGAATTGGATTGCGAAGTTGTGAATCATAACTCGTTGAGTACCGTCCGCTTGGTGTTAGACAGTTTAATAGATTTTCAACCTTATACTCATTTACTTAAGTTCAAAATATGTTATGTTTTTGACTAAGCAACCAATTTTTGTACAAGTGTCGCTACTTACTGAAAGAGATATAAACAATAATATTTTATAACGAATATGGGGTTAGCTCGGCAGAGTACATAAGTAAATACATTATTTTTGCTATTTATTCAAACATTAGAATATTAGTTAGCACGGGAAGTAATTGGACAGCTACATTATTGTAAATTAATTACTATGTTGTTCGACGTACTCACGTAACTGTTTGACGACGAACTCTACTAGTACCAAACCATACTTTTTTTTTTTAAGGGGGGAAAATCATCGAATGACTGCTCCCGCCTGGGTGAGGCGGGAGGGAGTGTCAGACTCTTACTGACTAAAAACCACCCCGTTCCTTCTCCTGCACGTCGAGTCGGAGCCCCGGTTACCCGTTAGGTTCTCCGCGACAGTACCAAGCCATACTAGAGGCTCATATTCATTGAACAAGTCGAGTTCATTAAACAATTACGTAAGTCGAAAAACCATAACAATTAATTTAGTATGGACTCACGAAAGTTATAATATAAGTTCCATTATTCGTATTATTTTTACAATTTGTTAACGTTTCCTGTATTTAAGTATTACGCCCTAAGATTTGTCTTTTATACATTACAAATAACAATTGACATATATACTTATCAATTTATAAAGTTATTTTGTTACAGTCATATATTGTTAATGTTCGGGTATTTTTAAGGGAGTGTCACACCGCTATGAAGCTGTGTATGTGCCCTATGCTTTAGTGTAGTGTATACTATAAAACGCAGTTCCCAGCACTGGAATTTATAGTATCGCATAAAATTTCACAATTTTAAGTATTTATAACTTTTTTTTTAAACATTATAGTGAGTTTCTGTTAAATGCGAATGTTTGCATTATTTATTAACAATGCTAATTCACTTGGATGTGATTTTTTTAAATATTCCAGACGCTTATCTTGTGTATGCTGATCAACAGCGTATTCACACCATATTTGGTCGATTTCGATGGATTAATCATAACGAGAGCAGAAATTGATACATTGTTAAATTAGCAACAGTTTTTATACATTCGAAAATGATAGATTAATCAGAGAACTTAAGGTTCAATATCGTTTGTCAATCAATTTCTGCGCTCATAATGATAGGTATCACAATTAGATCCGTGACAGGCTTGCACATGCGTCTACCACCTAACTCCTATATCATACAACGAACTGAACGCAGCCGTAACTAAGCAGACTAAAATTTTATACATCAATACTGAACGTACTCATTATTTAAGTACGTGAAACAATACAATAGGGATGATAACATTAAAAATTTATTTAGTCCGTCTGTTAGACGAAGGAAAAATATTAGACACGTATTTTTTCTTGACAACAGAATTCAGATAACACAAATTGATCTTTAATATTTGCTCGCTACGTCACGCCTAAGTAAAAATTATACATGAAGTGATGTCACGCGCTATTTCGAGTCAATATACCGTGGAAAGTTGTTTATTCTGTAGGAAAAGAAAATATACGTATCTAATGTTCTAAACTATCAGAGGGATCATATTTTATTTTCCTTTTTATCATCATTCCTATTAAAATGGGACCTTACGTAGTTATGTTAAGGGGTATAATTATTAATCACTAGCCTCAGTATGTGACGAAATCAGCGAGGTGGGAGGGTGCAGGTCACTTGAGCTTGGCTCGCTTGGGTAGCGGCGCGTCTTCGTCCTCGGAGGGCGAGGGTCGCTTGCTACTCTTGGAGGACGCGTCGTCCTCCTGCAGCCTGATCTCCGGTAGCGCTGGCAGCTCTAGTTCCACGCAGCGCTTGTTCATGTATTTTTCTAGACGGTTGCCAGCTCTGGAAGGTAAATGAATGATGTGATTACGGTAAATGTTTCTGTGAGCGTGTTTTAAAGTGTTATTGTTTTGCTGTTTAGCGTGAATCGTCGTAACAAGTGTCCAAAAAGCTTTATCACTGAATAAATCTGTGTTATAATGTCCATTAAAAAACTAGTAGGTATTGTTCCATTTCAGAAGATACATATTTTAAAATATTTTGATTGAAACCTATCCTAGAGGTATATTATATAAATAATCAATATTTTTAGAAGAGTGCCATCATAAAATCACAAGAGAAGATCCCTTGATATCACAAGTATAGAGACTACTTTAAATCGGGTACAGGATCTCTTGATCTCTAAATGAAGTACTAACTTGGCGACAGGGTGCGAGTCCTTGTTGTACGTGTAGCAGTTGAGGAAGACGAGCGCAGCGTCAGCCAGCAGGTCCTCGTCCGTGACGTACTGGGCCGACTCCAGCTTGTCGCGGATCGTTGAGAAGTCCATCGGCTGGTCTATCACTTCCAAGTAGTCGGGCACCTTGGTCATTATATTAGCATTATGATTATATTCCTTGAGAAGTAGTAACATACAAAAGGGAACCTAATGTCTTAACAACTTGATGCTACCTATAAGATCATCATCAATGATATCACCATTTGCATAAATACATGACACTAATACAGAATGCAGGAATTTTTTTTGACTTGAATAAATTGCTGCCTGAAAATATATTAAATTATATGCTAACAATTTCTATGGAGGTATCAATAGAATACATATGCACTATGTACTCAGAAAGGATGGACAAGGGAATTCCTTAATACTTACATCTTCAGGTGAGACGGGTTCATAGAAGGGCCAGCAGTCCTTATGCTTCATGACGTCCCGCAGCAGAGACTGCAGCGCCTCTGTATGCAGCTGCGTCAGCCTACTGCTGCGCTTCTTAGTGCTTCGCTCCTCTGTAACATTATATCAACTTTAACTATCATTGTAGTACATTTTTTCTAACAAATATTGTGATGTGAAAAGGACCAAAAAATACCTATAAACCACTGAAGTCAATCTTATCGCATGGAGAATGAATATAAGCATACCACACTTTTCTATAAACAAAGGCTACTTGTCCTTATACAACTATGTATTTAATCCATGCATGTCAAATTGTATGTTTGTAAACGCACAGAAGTAATGGCCCGGTGGATAAGACGCTCGCTTCTCATGCAAGAGGGTGCCGGTTCGAACCCTACCGATAGCAAGCTGCAATATGACTTTTGGCAATTTATAAGTATTTTCTAAGATTTAGAAACCACCACAGCACCAACGGTGAAGGAAAACATCGTGAGGCAACCTGAGCTTATAATGTCTAATTATAAGTTTGAAATTGCCAACCCACAATGAGCAAGCGTGGTGATTAATGCTCAAACCTTATTGGTGTTAGAAGAAGTGTTGCTTACACGCTCAAACGCTTACACTACACAGGAGACACCGTAGTGTAAGCGAATATTTTTAAAACACGCTTTTATTTTAAAGGGCTTGTGGACCTACCATTCTCCCATGAGACAGAGATAACATGCTGTATAAGACATAAGATAATATTCGATTGGACTTACCGTGATGTCCATTTGTTAGCGAGTTCTTCGATCTTCTGCCCGTCGTGTGCCTTTCATTTGTGGTTTCTTGATCCTGATTCTTTGATCTAGATATGAAAGGAATAAAAATTGTATAAGACATTTATAACTGTCTCATTGGCCGAGTGGTCGCAAGTGCGGATGTTAGGCATGGGGGCTCCCGGTTCGACCCCTGTGTCGGGCAAAGCATGACTAGGTTTTTAAAAAAAAATTTAGTAGTAGCACGGTGTCTGGAAATGTCCCCAGTATATGGCAATAGGCTCAACCCCTATTACATGGGACTCATGACATTAAGTGCCGTAATGTGCACCTCCGCCGTATTTGACTAAAACATGACGTCATTAAGTTAGTATTTCATACAAAAATTCGTAAGTGTCTTTTTCGAAAAAACTATAGTATTGGTCTTGTTGGGTAAGCTTGTGTATAGCTTTCTGGTAAATATTTAATGTGTTTTACTTACTTCCGTCCTCTCTTAGTCTTTCCATTGTGTACTGGCGAGGACTCCTTGCTGGTTCTCCCTGGTTTGGCCAGTTTTACCAGCGCTACATTATATTCGCTGTCATCCGAATCTGCAAAGTAAATTGTCTATTAATTCACCAATATTATGTTATGATGTCAGAGTAAGAGATAAATGGAGTGATTGGAGGTTTTATAGTTCCAAAATAAATAAACTATCGACTTAATGTCCGATAATGAAAAATTCACAACATTTGTTCATACAAAAGTAGTCTCTAAACATTCGAAATAAGGTCTATAATGGTGTAAGTGGAGAGCGGTAAGTGTTTACAGCTTGGATCTTGCAGTAAATTCAGGCAGGCAGTTGAAACAACTGATATATGCCTGTATGGTATATTTCTATTAGTATTTAATTATATATCTTATGTCTATCAAGTTTATTTTAATTTGAATAAGTTAAAGCATGGAATCAGTTTAGCTGTTTAGCAAAAAAGCTTTAGATTACAAAGTATTGTATAGATATAATAAAACCTATTTTTCATTGGATGTTAATCACTCCATTCATTACTGACTCGTTGTCGTCGAAATTAGTATACAGAATGATAGGATAGCGATTTATAATGATATGTTAGCGAGCTTCAAAGCAGTTAGTAAGCGCTTGAAGACTTTGCACATCGCAATGAATGAGTTTTATTAAAATTTCCTGGCGCGAACCATAGCCAGATGCTCTCCTTATAAGGGTAAGTGCACGTAGTATTTTTTTCTTATTATTTTATTAATGTATGGTTTGTAAAAAGTTAACGTATTTAATGTAACGTCTACTTTGATACCAAAATACTACAGTTACTTAGACACATAAAATCACAAGGATAGCGGTAGTTTGAAAAGTTTTGCTATCCTAGCAAATAGTTTTTATTATAAACTACGTTTAAAAAAACCGACTTTAATCTCCTCTTATTTTAAGTCGGTTAATGATTTCATTTTTTCAATTTACTTACTGTCAATTTCAATAAACTATCTTAATCCAAAATCTGTAGATATAGATCGATTATATTGACAATAGTTGTACGGAGTTTCTGTCAATAATCGATCTTAATCCACATATTTTGGATTGCGACATGTTATAGTAATTGGCAGTTAGACAATCTATCGTCGGATTCTTATAACCTAAGACTTAATATAAAAATCATAATCTAGACAGGAAATGCTGTGCAGTAGATGGCAAGCATGAGAATGCAGTGAGTTAGTACAGAATGTATATTATATATGGCAGCACAACCCACAGCCTAAGGTGATAGGACTCTTACAACAACCAGATTGGCCACGGAATATACATATTTAAGTACCATAGGACAAAGGTTAAAACAAGAGAGAACCAGAATGAAAAAGCAGTAAAAGAAATGGACTGACGAGACTATAATCGCCAGTGGCGCCGCCATTTGGAAGCAGAAACACTTATGCAGTTATTTAGCATGATGGGAATTTAAAACGGCGATAGCATCTATTTATTGTTTGAGATTGTTTAATAGGTTGTTTATTATAAAAATCATGCCATAAAATTAAAAGAGGTCGACAACAACAAACAAAATAACTAATAACTTCAACCAAAATTGGACTTCCAACAAAGAGATGAGGAATGAAACAGGCACCAATTGAAATGAGACTTTCCCCAGGAGGAAATAAGAGTGAAATTAGCATGTTCGATAATTCCGTGGCCATGTATCGGTACGCACCGAAGGAGTCCGTGTGTCTCGCCATGCGACTGTAGCTGTTGATGTACGCGCTGGCCGCGGCCGCGCACCGACGACTGCTCGTCTCTTCAGGATATAGGACCCCATTAGTTTTGTATTCAATTTTAGAAACTATTTTAACATTATTTAGCTCTTACAAGCTAAATAATTTACGTTTTAAGTTGTCTACTGAATTTTATTAGAATGAAATAGTATTACTTGTGACGTAATTTTAAATTAAATAATTTTTTAAATTGTTCTTTTAGGGTATTTCAACAATTTTATTAGATTAAGGGATCATTTGACTTGAGTGAACACAAGTTTACAATGTAAATATAATATTAGTGATCATTTTTGCTCAAGATATAGACCTATATCGGGGCGCAACATATGTAACGTCCAATAACCTCGAGTAGAATGAGTTCTCCCACCTTGAGTGAAGCCAAGGGTGTCCATCTCTTACTGACTAAAAACTACCCTGTTCCTACAAACCGGGACTTTGGTTTACAAAGGTCGTCTGCAGTCTCGGTTAGGCATTCGCCCTATTGGGTCTCATCAGTGGTGGCCTGATGGCTTTTTGAAGTGCACAGAATACTCGGTGTTGTACGCTCGGGTTGGTTCTTGGTTGCCGTAGTATAGATAGTACATAGGATGGTGGATACGTACCGCGCGCGGGGGCGAGGCAGGCGGCACAGAGCCAGCGGCGCGCGGCGCGGGCGGGGCGCGGGCGCGCACACTCGGGGTGGTAGCGTAGTATAGATAGTACATAGTATGGTGGATACGTACCGCGCGCGGGGGCGAGGCAGGCGGCACAGAGCCAGCGGCGCGCGGCGCGGGCGGGGCGCGGGCGCGCACACTCGGGGTGGTAGCGTAGTATAGATAGTACATAGTATGGTGGATACGTACCGCGCGCGGGGGCGAGGCAGGCGGCACAGAGCCAGCGGCGCGCGGCGCGGGCGGGGCGCGGGCGCGCACACTCGGGGTGGTAGCGTAGTATAGATAGTACATAGTATGGTGGATACGTACCGCGCGCGGGGGCGAGGCAGGCGGCACAGAGCCAGCGGCGCGCGGCGCGGGCGGGGCGCGGGCGCGCACACTCGGGGTGGTAGCGTAGTATAGATAGTACATAGTATGGTGGATACGTACCGCGCGCGGGGGCGAGGCAGGCGGCACAGAGCCAGCGGCGCGCGGCGCGGGCGGGGCGCGGGCGCGCACACTCGGGGTGGTAGCGTAGTATAGATAGTACATAGTATGGTGGATACGTACCGCGCGCGGGGGCGAGGCAGGCGGCACAGAGCCAGCGGCGCGCGGCGCGGGCGGGGCGCGGGCGCGCACACTCGGGGTGGTAGCGTAGTATAGATAGTACATAGTATGGTGGATACGTACCGCGCGCGGGGGCGAGGCAGGCGGCACAGAGCCAGCGGCGCGCGGCGCGGGCGGGGCGCGGGCGCGCACACTCGGGGTGGTAGCGTAGTATAGATAGTACATAGTATGGTGGATACGTACCGCGCGCGGGGGCGAGGCAGGCGGCACAGAGCCAGCGGCGCGCGGCGCGGGCGGGGCGCGGGCGCGCACACTCGGGGTGGTAGCGTAGTATAGATAGTACATAGTATGGTGGATACGTACCGCGCGCGGGGGCGAGGCAGGCGGCACAGAGCCAGCGGCGCGCGGCGCGGGCGGGGCGCGGGCGCGCACACTCGGGGTGGTAGCGCGCGCCGCACGCGCCGCACGTGGCGCCCAGCCGCCCGCCGCTACCGCAGCACGCACATACTCCCGCGTCCACGCACTCGGAGTCACTGGGGGACGGCACACATCGGTATAAGAATCATCATATGGTCTATGTTCACACACGCCTTCCAAAGTGACTTCCAGAGACTTTGTTATACGTCCTTAGTATGACTTAGTTGTACGTTTAAAGTAATCGAAACGAGTACGCGTTTGGCGCGCTGATTGGCGGGCTCCAATAATACAACCAATCACAGTACCGAACTCGTGCTATGGCGTCAGATAGACCAGTTGAAAGCAATCGGTATCTAGCAACTTATTGCGACCCTTATCAGAGATTTAGTACGAACTTGACGAGACCGAAACGTTAACGCGTTCGACACGCTTGACTGGCCTGCTCTAATGAACCAACCAATCAAAAGACGAAACGGGGTACCGTTTCGATATCGTGAAACATAACACTAAACCTCCATTCGAAAACCTTTCTACCCCAGCGGCCGTCATTTCTCCAACCTGTGTTTACATGTGTGTGTGTACAATAAGGTAGATGACTAATTTTTATTTAATGTCCATCTGGTAGATTAATTTAAAATATTAGACACGTATATTTTATTTCCTTACAGATACAAATACTTTCGACGATATATCAATTTGAAATGTCGCGTGACGTCACTTCTAAGAGACGTTTTATACGTAGAAATGACGTTTTTATTCGCACTCCTAAACTTTAATCCGTTTGTCGCGGTCATCGCCTCCATTCTATGTCATCATGTGATTTTGATTCTGATCATGTGATTATGATGTCACCTGTGCCCTAGCATGTATTAATTTGATTTATAATTAAACAGTCTCATATTGAACTTAAACAAGGGCAGATCATTTCACTCCTCACACAAATACCCTACACATACCGCCGTATGTGTAGGGTATTTGTGTAAACGTAAAAAAACGTGTGGGGCTTAGCGCCCTAAGCCCCACACGTTTTATCTAAGTAATGTTTTCTTATACGATAAAATAAAAAAATATGTGTGTAATGTTTTTTCCAACTGGGATTAAGGGAAACAAATTGATAAAACTATGCAGAGCTGTGTGACGGCCGCCTCTCGCTTGTTTGAACGTCGCGGGTCACGTGCGTCTCGCACATGCGTGTTGACTTGACTTTTTTCTAGAAGATTCGCACGTTGGTCGTGCGGAGATGCGACGAGTGCGCAAGCGCGAGCGAAGCCTAGCTCGGCTATGTTCGGCTCACCGTGCGCGTTACATGTGTCTAATTTTTTCACTAAGTACTTCGGCGCGGTTTCACTCGCTCTGCTCGGCTCCTATTAATCGTAGCGTAATATTTTATAGCCTATAGCATCCTCGATAAATGGGTTATCCAACACAGAAAGTATTTTTCAAATCGGACCAGTAGTTTCGGAGATTAACGCGTTCAAACAAACAAACAAAAAACAAACTTCAGCTTTATAATATTAGTATAGATTACCTAACTGACGGACTAATTAGATTTTTAATTTTCATACCCTGTCATCATCCCTATTTACAAATAGGCAGACCAGCTAGGTATTTTCATACAACAAGAACAATAATATTACCTGCTATTAGCTTCCTCCTGCTCCACTTCCTCAGTATAGAGTTTCCTCCTCTTTCGCGGAGTCCTCTCCTTAGGCTTGCACACGTCGCAGAACCAGTCGCCCTCTGGCACTTTCTGTTCATTCACAATGTTTTATTAGTACATTTTACAATACACACAAAATACTTCATTACGCACCACGACATTAAAGACAGATGTGTATATATGTATGTTTCTTTGTTTTTCTTTCACAAAAAAAACTACAGAACGCCAGCGACCCTACTGGCAGAAGCTAAAGAAGCAAAAAATTAATAATCGAGATCCGATATTCTATAATAAACGTGGATCATTATAAACTGTAATCGCCAACCCGCCTGCCAAACATGGAGATTATGACTTTTAGACGAGAAAATTATTCCAGCAAGAAAATGCCATTTGCTGGTGAATCAAGTAAAGTCAGGACATAGTAAACAAATTGTATTTTGTGAGGCGGGTAGAATTAAACACAATATTTATAGAGTATAATATTAAAGTAATATTTAGTCATGCACATTACCTTCGGATACCCAGTTGCCTAGCAGCATGGAATCATAAAAAAATATATTTATGACTAAGTATTCAAGTGTACTTATGATCATCATTTAGATTCATTGAATTCAACTAATTTCGATTAAAAGTCTACAATGGAGGCTGTATTTACTGTCACTAGATTGTGCAAATGTAGCAAGATTTTTTTTATCCATCCACAGCAGCTGTCAAATATTGAACATCCAATGGTGTGAAACTAGCTAATTCTCTATTGGGCGAAACACGAGAGGGTCACACTACTGGCATCTAGTGAGCAAAAATAGAGTAGCCCCCATTGTCTGTTTAGATTATTCTGCATATTTCTAAACTTTACAATAAGTGAGAAAGAAATATAATGTTTTACTGACGACAGGCTGATCATCTTTATCATTGTATCAGCCACAAGATATCCACTGCTGACCAGCCTCCGCAGATTTAAAAAACAACAACTTTTTTTAAATTTCTGTGTGTGTTAAGAGTTCGATTTCTGCACGAAACAATTCGTTGTGGGATGCTCAAGCTGTTGTTCCGAGTTTGGGCGTATTGTGTATGAGAAACTGTATGTTTGTAAACACGTCCACGACACAGCAGAAAGTCCTAGTGTTACTTTAAAAAAAGAGTACTCACGGTGAGTTTAGGCTTCAAGCAGTACAGATGGTGTCCCTTATTGCACCCGTCACAGAGAAGCATATTGTCAGGATCTGTCTTCCTCCTGCAGAGCCTACAGCTGGTGTTCAGTATACTGGCGGACCAGGTGACGCTGGAGTCCAGTGTGAACAGGTGCAGCATTATCTGGGAGAAACTCTTGCACTCCATCAAGGATACCTCCCAGCGCTGTAGAGCTTCCAGGTCTAAAGACTTGTTCCTCGCTTCTCTGTCTTTTCTTTCCTTATCGTCGAGGCCTGTAGAAGATATATGCAATTAGTACAGATCGAAGGAACTCACTTTCAGGAAGAAACTTGAATGAGTTCAATCTCTATTTCATTTCATAACATGTTTGATTGGCTGTCACTGCTCAACCCACCGCATACGCCCGAACTGACGTTCACCATGCTTCATATTACGACTCCCTAAAGTATTTTACGAGGTATCGGCTGAGAGGAAGTTGGTCGTTAAAATATGTCAAATATGTTACAATGAAACTTTTACAATAGTAAAACTGTTAAAAACTATTTACGAATAATATTGAAATTTGAAGATCAAGGTGATAGCCGTTATAGCCGCAGATGATGATAACATATTATCCTACTGCTGGGCAATGGCCTCTTCTCATACGGGGAAGCAATGAGCATTAATCATGACACTTGCTTAAGGCAGGTTGGTAATTCATCGATGACGATGTCACCTCTGCCTATCATTTGCGAAATTAAGACGAAAATCGAATACTTACCGAGTGGTCGTTTCAGGTACTTGTGGTTAATAGCTTGTGACACTTGCAGCAGTGCGGACGCGAGGCCCCGGACCACTTCGGGCTTGGCCCCGGGCTCCGGGGGCTCCTTCTTGACTCCATTCACTTTGGGCGCCTCCAAGTAGTAGCCGGGGTCGCGGTATTTGTTTATTGCTATGGTTTTCATGTCTGATTCTTCTATGTCTGTAGATAAAAATAATGTTTTATTTTTAATAAAAAAAAAATGTTCATTCTGTCTATGAAGTAGTAGACGAGAATGAGTAGCCGGTTTCTAAAAAAACATCACAAAAAGAGTGGGTATCAATGCCAATGGTCAGCTGGACTCGCAGATAAAGACCAGTTAGAACGGAATGACTTTTAGTTAATAAAAATCAAGTACTGCCTGACACTAAATACAGTCATTTGATGATATTCCTCTTCAAAAAAAAAACTAGATTTAACACCTTGATATACCGTACCGAAAATCATCAAAATTTGTTCATACAAAAGTAGTCTATATCTACTTTGCAAATAAGGTCTATAATGGAGTTAGTGGATAACGGTCATCACTGATGACCGTTATCCGCTATTGTTATCCAAGCAGTCACTGATGACTCATCAGTGACTGCTTGGAGATTGAATAGTTAATATATTGTATTTAGTAGTGTGTATACCTACCGGTGGGTAGTTTGAGCACTCCATTGGGGTGATGGTAGTCGTCCCGGTACTGGTTGTCAGGTCCCCAGGTGAGGTACTCGGCCTGCTTGTCGTAGCCGCGCAGCATTATAGTGCCGCGCCATGCTTCGCGGTCCTGCACGATACGTAAATAAATAATTGTATAATTTTCTTATGGCATACAAGCAGATAGATCTCCTAATGGTAAGCAATCAGAGCCGCCTATGGACGCCCAAAACACCAGAGAAGTTGCAAGTGTTTTAGCCCGGCTTTCAAGAAGTACTCTCCTCTCAGAAACAGACCCGAGCGTACGTCGCGTTCCGCGCGCTTCAAAGAGCCATCAGACCACCACGGATGGGGCCCAATAGGGCTGATGCCGATTGAGTCGCGGAGAACCTAACGGGTAACCGGGGCTCCTGCTCGACGTGCAGGAGAAGGAACGGGGTGGTTTTTAGTCAGTAAGAGTCTGACACTCCCGCCCGCCTCAACCAGGCGGGAGCAGTCATTCGATGATTTTCCCTCCATAAAAAAAAACTTTCTTTCCTTGAAGGTGAGAGTTCGTTCTGTAGTTTTGCTCTGCGAGGTAAAAAATGTAGAAAAAAGGTACAGTTGTTGCCTATCAACCATATTAGACGATGGGAATGAATGGGCGGTCCATTGTCTCTGCCTACCCAGTGGGAGACAGGCGTAAGGTTATCTATGTATGGGAATGAAGTTGCTGAAGCGTGAAACGATGACGGAAAAGTATTTGTAAACACACTCACAACACGGAGAAAATCATAGTTTAGAAAAACATTACTAAAATAACATGTAAGTGTCACCGGTACCTTAACTTTGAGTGACCCGAGTAGTCCATGGAAGATCTTCTCCTCCAGCTCGAGGATATGGTCCCTGAGAGACAGCTCCAATGCTTCAGACAGTGTACTGTCTGCTGGGACATTCAGTGACGGCTGGAACTTGCGGTGGCGGGTGCCGTAGTGGACCGTCGGCGCGGGGGGAGCCTGAAGATTTAATAATAAAAATATTTTGAAGTAAATTAGATGACGAGTTTTAAAGATGTACTAGATTAACTAGTCAAGTAATACTTTGTTAAATATGATACATATTTAAACATTAATTAATTTCATCAAGTCTTTATTTTCTAAATGGATTTCAATGAAACATGACATGGGATATTAAAATCACATCATACTTAACTAGATATTATAACATGCACTTTTTTTCAACTTTTAAAGTGAACAACATTTTAATTTAGTTATTCGTTATGGCAATAGTGAACTTATTCAGTATGATTAAAGTTCGTATTTCTTTACATTAAGTCTTTATACCCCTAACACTTTTCACTTTGCTTCATTGGCTGAGTGGTCGCAAGTGCGACTGCCCGGTGTAGTGCAGTAGGCACACCCCCTATTACATGGGACTCATAACATGAATAATGAAAAGTGGATATTACATTGTACAGTGGCATTAAGTGCAGTAATGTGCACCTCTGCATACCCCTTCGAGGATAAAGGCGTGATGTTATGTTAAGATAATCTAGTTTCTAGTAGGAATACAGTATACATACAGGCGCGGCAGTCGGGTTGAGTAGATGCAGTGGGCACTTGGCGATGTGAGCGAGTATCCTGTCCTTGTCCTGGTCCAGGGCCTGGCGCAGGTCCCCCTCCCGCAGGCCGCGCTTGTTGAGCGCCGCCGTCAGCGCAGACAACTGCTCCGCCGTGTGGAACACCCACCAACGGGGGCGGAGGCTCTGGGTATACGAACATACACGAAAATTAGCTTCGTGTTTATGCCAATGAAAATTGAACTCTGTCTATGAAGATACTATACTACTACATTTTACTGTATAAAAAGATATTCCTTTCGGCTCTTGTACACAATAGTCCATCATTATGATATAGATATACGAAAATTACACCCAAATACATATAGTAAAGAGCTGACCTTTCCATGTACGAGACAAGTGGTGATATCTCCAGTACACATGAGCAGGTCCTGCAGTTGTTGGGTAGTGGAGTCTATTACTGTGCCATTCATTTTCTGACTGATACCATTGAGATTGGACAATGGCTTCTTAGGTGAACTGCCGCGGGAGTTGGCACCGGATTCGTTTTCTTTGTCGCTTCCTGCTGTAAGTTACGAAGATTTGAACATTTTTGTATGATTTATAGATCTAAATTGAGCTATTGTCAATGTTAAAACTAAGTGATAAGGTAAAAAATGTATTGAAGTAGTTGGACAGTTCGATGAGTACATTAAAATATCTAAAAGACTAGATGCCATTTACAACTTTATCGCTAAGTAATAAGGTTGAAAATTTATTGAATGATCTTGATAGGTTTGTAAGTTTAGTGTATTTCTTATAAAATCGATATTCGACTTAAACTTAGTGGTGTAACATTAAATGAATGATTTTAGTACTTCAAGTGGTAAAGTTTGAGAAGTGTAATAAGGTAATAAGAATAAGTATAAGTGAGCGACCTCTCTCCCTCTGCTGCTCGAAGAGCTTGGCGACGTGCGCCAGCGTGTCGCCGGCGTCCCTTGGCGCGGGCGACACGGGCTTGTGGCGGCACGGCCCGCGCCCGCCCGCGCCCGCCTCCACGAACACGCCCGCCAGCGCGCGGCACACCCAGTAGCGCCGGAACGCGCGGTCCGACCCTGCGGACCCAACTGGCCTTTAGTACACTTGTTAAGCTAAAATATCTTCTGAATACATTTACTACCCACAAAATACTTCTGCTCAAAAAGCCATCAGACCACCACGGATGGGGCCCATTAGGACTGTAACCGAAGTACAAGAGTACGAACCGAGTGGTTTTTAGTCAGTAAGAGTCTGAGTACGAATGAGCCAGCTTGACCAAAGTGACACCACATCTTCATACATAGATAACTGGCACGAAGCAAAAGCTTGTGTATAAAGTTACTGAAGACCCCACACCCCCTTCCACCTCCCCTCACCCCTCAAAAAAGGCTTTGTGCCCACCTCCTAGTGTCTATTGGCCGCTTGCTTAACATCAGATAATCCATGTATTATATAAAATAGTAACACTTTGCTGCACTTACCAAGATAAGTAGTATACTCGAACAATTCCTCCTGGTACCCCTTCAGCTCCTTCTCATACTGCTTTTTCTTCTCCTCACTCTCTGCTATAAGTTTGTCTATGGCTGCCTTCATCTCCTCATCCACTGCCCTTGCCTTCTCTCCGGTCAGCTTATTCTCTTCCTTCTTAGCAAATGCCTCTTTACGAATCTCTTGTTTTGCTGTTATCAACTGAGCTTCCCGTTTCCTTTCATTTGTCTGTTAAAGTAAAGAAAAGATGATTTTATTGTTACGTAAGTGATGGTTTATTACCGATTGATGTTGATGGTATTGGTAATGTAAATTGAACTTTATTGCTTAGTGTTAAAGTTGATAATTGTGTGTTACAATTTAATAGTTAGGTTAAAAGTTAAATTGTATTATTAGTAGAAGACTTTATCATTCAATAATAATAAAAAATGAATAAGTCACATACTTGTAACAGTCTGAGAGCTTGTTTGGTATTCTTCATTTCTTCAAGTCGTTCTTCAATGACGTCTCTCAATGTGGCGTAACTCAGGATCTGGTTCATTAGGCATTGGAGCACTAGGAACTTGTCCTCTGTAGAAAAAAAATGTACTTTAGTCTTTGCTTCGGTAACCATGTTGTAATTTGTTTTGCAGTTAACAACTCTTCGTTACCAAGATGGAGGATAAATAAATTTCTAACATTAGTTTTACATAGTTTCTTTTAAAAACAGACTTTAATCTACAGGTTTTTAAACTAAGATGGGTTAATTAATTTCAGCTATCAGATGACGTAAGTAAGAATAGTGTTACCGAGTGATAAATCCGCGACATGCGTGGAGTGCAGCGCGTGCAGTAGCGCGGGCCGCTGCACCCGCAGGCGCAGGCCGGCGTCGTCCGCGCTGGTGTACCCGCCGCGCGCCTGGTAGCGCCACGTGGCGCAGCGCCCGCCCGGGCCCGCGCCCGACGACAGCAGGTGCAGTCTGAGGGACAATATTTATTTTATCAACCGTCATCGGCCCACTGCAGGGTAAGCCTACCCTTTTTCCACCTTTAACTTGACACCTACGATAAAGATTGGCCGCATAAAGTGTTGCACAGCGAGGAATGGATGCCTGTGATATACCAACTCATTCAATATAAACACTACACAGTGAGTGAGCTTACCGAAGACGCAACCCCCTCCTCCAATTGTTCTCTCTAAACCTCTAATCCCAATTACACATAAACTACTTGCTAAACGATATGCCATCATCACTAAATTTACAAGAGTGCTAAAACATCAGGAGTAAATGATAACTATAACAATTACCAATTTGAATCCAATTTCATTAGTCCTAAGGGTGTACATAATAAATAAATTACTAATGACTAATGGAATTACAGATTAAACAAAAAAGAATACAACAGCAACAACAAATAACTATATACAGGCTTTGACTGTATGGTGATGATAACTGACCTCAAAACTTCGCTGACTGTGGTGGGGTCAAGAGGCAGTTTGCTGAGCGGAGTGCCGAGGTATGTCTGTGACCATTTGCTGGCTTTGGTCGCCAGCTCCATCGCCTTCGTCACACCCATCTCAGTGTCTGCTTCTTTGTCCTCTGCAATAATAAAAAAAAATATTTTATTAGTTTAACAGGTTTATCTATGTGACTAAATGTGGAAAAAGCAAAACTGTGAAGACTATTACGACGAAAAATTATAGAGCAAACCTATTTAATAATAATACTAAATTATATCTTTGTGTCTAGGAGTTAAATATTTAAATGAGACTACACTAATAATTTACTTTAGAACATGCTTTTAAACATGTTCATGCATTTAAATGTGGAAGAGCCATGCTTCGCCACGAATGGGTCGGCTCGACCGGAGTGATACCACGGCCTCACAGAAAACCGACGCAACGCTTGCGTACATAAAACACATTTATGTCTTTATACGGGAGTATATTCCGGGAGGGATCCCGGAATCCCGAATGATCCTCAAAGTTCTAATCCCAAAAGGCCGGTAACGCATTTGTAACACCGCTGGTGTTTTGGCTGTCCATGGACGGCGCCGATTGCTACCATCAGGTAATCCGTATGCTCGTTTACCAGCTTATTCCATAAAAAAACTGAAAAAATGCTTTGAAATTTGTCAATTAAACTTATACTTGTTTAAATATGTAAACTACGATAGTTACCTTCACCAGTAGACAGTTGTATTCTTCCATTCTCATTATACTCCTCAGCTTCATCTTCTTGCAAGGAGAACACGGTAGTCAGGAACATCTGCACCAGATCACTGAACAGGCCAGCATGCTCCTTCTGGGTCAGAGCCTTCCTGAACGTCTCCAGGTCTAGTTGCTGGTTGTGGAATACATCCTTCACCTTGAGGATCTCGGAGTATTGGTGCACAAACTCCAGAACTGAGAGGAAGTCACCAAAGTGTTCGTGAGGTATCCCTTCCACTTCTACCAGAGTACCAGTTGGTAACACCTGCAAAAAGAAGAGTTAGCTGTTATGTTACAATCATACAGCAGTTGTGCTAAGATATTTAAATTCTTAGCATATTAACAGAATATTCGCAAAAGTAAAATTCAAATTAGTTGTGTATCCAAAGTTTATATGTGAATTTATTAAAATAAAGTCTTTGAAATAAAGACTTAACTGATATTGTGCTATCTTTCTCATAATAATGAATGTAAGTTGTTATTAAACTTTTTATATTCGTAATTACATACTTTGAAATTACCTAAAACACTTTATCAAACTACACTAAACAACTTACTTTGTGATCCTCCAGTTCTATATCATCTTTAACTTTCTGCCACTCCTTCATGTAGGCCTGCAGTCGTGCAGTCTTCTCCTTTTTGCGCAACCTCTCTTCTTCCTTGCGCTGTCGCATCAAATCTTCTGCTTTGCGCATCTTCTCCGCCATTTCTTGCGCACTCTTTTTAGCTGCCGGGTCCATTGGAGGCTTATTCTTTTGTGCTGCAGAATTCGTTGAGATTAGGTTAATGTAAATTGTATTATTGTAGACAACAATTTTGCTTAACACTTGCCTAACACAAAAAGTTCAAGATTTCTTTTTGATGATTTTGGTAAATCAAAATAATTTGATGTCTTTGAAACCTTACCTTCAGCTTTATCTGTCTTCTTCACAAATTTGTCCATGGACTCCTGACGCCCCTTCTTATCAGGGCTAGGTTTTTTGACGGTCTTAGTCAGTTTGGAGGCAGACCCTGGCTTAGTTGGACCTTTGGAAGCTGTTGGTGACTTTAGGAGCTTCTTAGATGATGGGAAAACTGGTGGGTTGCCCGTGAATATTTGGTCAAAGCTTACTTTGCTTATATTGTACTTTTCCTGTGCTGATTTCTGTGAGGAAAGATAGATTTAAAGTTAGCAAAAGTGAACTGCTTTTGGAGCTTGTATAGATATCTAAGTTGCTAAGAAATATTGCAAGTTTTATTAACACATTAACCACTACATATAGGTCACCGGTACCTACGTTAGTGAACGATTTGCTTTCAACAGTGTTATGTTGGCAGTCAAAGGGTTAATTAAAAATATATAAATTAACTCGTCGAGTACCGTCATTATGGACACAATTATAGAACAATAGGTTGCGGTCACCGGTGACCGCTTGGTGTTTGACAGTTTAACTCGTCGAGTACCGGTTTTGCAGACACAATTATAGAACAATAGGTTGCGGTCACCGGTGACCGCTTGGTGTTTGACAGTTTAAAAATATATAAATTAATTAAGACTGAAATTTAACTTAATGTAAAAAAAACTATATGTGGTGATGCCTTACAATGGGCTTTTTATAAAACATGGTCTAAGTATTTTTGCAATTAGTGAATAAAATCTTGTAATTCAATGTACCTTAATAGAAATAACACCATCGGAACCGCCTTCAACAAACTGTTTGAGGAAGAGGCGGTTCTTATCGCGCGTGTAGACTCCCTTGCGCCTGCGCACACGATCTGACGGCGCTGTGCCTATCTGTCCTGACGCGGAGGGGTCACTTTCATGATACTGTTCCACTTCGTAGCAGTATGCTGTAGATGGTAACATTGTTTTGCTGAGGAGAAAAAGAAATTGGTTATAATTACAATTTTACAATAAGTGAGTGAATCCCCGAAGGGGTAGGCAGAGATACAACATTTTTAAATAACCCAATAATACTTTGCCCGACCCGGGAATCGAACCCGAGACCCCTTGCCCAGCAGTCGGACTTGCGACAACTCGGCCAACGAGACAGGTAAGTGACAGAGTCTATAAGTTAGTTAGTTACCTAAAGTTACTGCAAGTTAGCCCCGCTTCCATTGTTACAACTTGTTCATTTGTTCCAGAAGGTAAAATGGAATAGTTATCATATCTAAGATAACATGTTATGACGTCATATTATTTGTATTAATTAATAGACTCATTTGCCATAAACGGAATAGAAACTATTGAAGATCATTTATTTTAAAATAAAATCTATTAGTGAGAGAATAAAATATTAAGTAGGAAGAAAGCTTAAAGTTTTCACAACATCATCAGCCCGTGTTCGTCCAGCGCTGGAAATAGGCCTCTTCAATGTCACGCCACTGAGCTCGATCTTTAGCATTACGCATTTAATAACTTGGGCTTTATCAAATTCACAAAAGAGCCAAAGAGTAATCAGAGGTGCACATATTGAATGTGACAAACAATTCAATACATAAATAGTGATTATAAAATTTCAGTACAGTATCAATTATAATGAAAATTATTTTGTTTTTATCTAGATTTGATAAGCAACAATGTCATTTCGAGTATTTGATACTAAGCATGTCTAATGAGACCAAACTGTTAGATAGTTACTAGAGATCATTGACCTTATCCAAAGTAATATTATAAGTGCGAAATTAACTCTGTCTTCTTCATGCCTAAACTACTGAACCAATTTGAGTGAAATTTGGTACAGACATAGTTTGGAACTTCAGAAAAGACATATAAAATAGTTTTTACCCCGAAAATCCCGCGGGAGCGGGGACTTCATAAAATCCCGCGAGATCGGGAACTATGTGGGTATAACCAAAAATCTGCCGGAAGTCGCTGGCAAAAGCTATGTTATAATTGTTTTAGACAATCTTGTTACAAAATCATCACGCCTTTTACTAGCTGGAGTAATAGGCAGAAGTATTAAACGCTCACTTTGTGCCAGATGAAGATGTAGATGTAATATATTTTTCTTCACTTTATGTATAAAAAGTTATCCTACAATTATTGAATACTTTATTATTTTACTAGCTTCAGCCAGCTTCGACTTCAATACCAATGGATGAAAAGTAGCCCATAAGTTGTTCCAGACCATAACCTATCCTGTTACAAATTTCATCGTGATCCTTTTAGCCACTTTCTTTGATGTGACTGTGTAATAAACATACACAAACTCTTACATTTGGCAACAATGGCCCCACCCCCTATTACATGAGACAATGTCATAATGTACACCTCTTCCTACCCATAAAAGGTGTGATGTTATGATGTTATACTTTACAAATATTAGTGAGATTACCACTACCAACATCACAATATGCAGAAAGAGATTGTAGAAATAATCAGGAGTACATAGTTATATTAGTAGGAGATGGTATTGTACTCATTAGTTACACCTTTGTTATAAGCACTTGAGGAAATTTATTCATTAGAATTCTAATTTCAATCATTAAGTGGCCTTGTTAACTCTTTAAAGCTATTTCCTTAACACATGTTTCTCTCAATTGACACATAACATAACATGACACTTTTTATCTTCAAGGGGTAGGCAGAGGTGCACATTACGGCACTTAATGCCACTGTACAATGTAACACCCACTTTTCACTATGTATATTATGAGTCCCATGTAATAGGGGGTGAGACTATTGCCATATTATACTAGGCACAATTCTCTCAGTTGAATCTTATTTAAATTAATTAACTCGTCGAGTACCGTCATTATAGACACAATTATAGAACAATAGGTTGCGGTCACCGGTGACCGCTTGGTGTTTGACAGTTTAATCAAACAAGTATAAATTCGCAAAGCTACCTTAGGCAAGTGTGGTGATTAATGGCTACTTCTTCTTAATGTAAGAAGTTTTTTTTCAGTAATGGGATAGTTATAGACTGATGATGATGATTAAATTAATGTACTCTAAATGACATGGTTTTTTCTTAGTATCTTATATATTAACTCGTTGAGTACCAGTTTTGTAGACACAATTATAGAACAATAGGTTGCAGTCACCGGTGACCGCTTGGTGTTTGACAGTTTAACTCGTCGAGTACCGTCATTATAGACACAATTATAGAACTATAGGTTGCGGTCACCGGTGACCGCTTGGTGTTTGACAGTTTAAATACTTAATAAGTATGTATTTTAATTTACACAACATTACTCAATGTATTTTCCTATTGCAATGGGCAGACAACAGCTATGAGAACTACCAAAACGTTTTTAAATTGTGTTTTTTTTATACTTATTAGCTTTTCTTTTTACATGTGAAACAAAATTAAATACAATGATATGAACGAAGATATTGTTTTTCATAATATATCCAGTTGTTTCAAATCCAAACTAATTTCTAAACTTGATACTTTTTACTTAGCAACAGCATTAATATGTGACTCATAGATAATATTTAGATCAAATAAGGATACTTTGATATATTGTACATGCATAACCTTCAGAGCAAAGAGTATTTAATTGTCATATTTTTTGCTTATGTTTTTTTAGAAAGGTACATTGTACCTACTTGGTGTTAGTTGTTGTGGAGTTCAAGGTCAAATGTGGTTAAGTTTAGAGAAATTCCAAGTTTCCATAGATATACAGTTGTATAGAATATTGTGGATATATCTTATGTATGATACCTACACATTTTTATTAAGTTGGGTACTTGTAAGATTTATTCATTGTACTTATAATTTTGTTATTAATTGAATTTATAGTTTTATTTTTATTTTGTACTTTATGTTAACAGTTTATTGTTTTATTGGTGCTGAGATAATATACTTTAGTGTTGACTTACCTGTCTGGGTGCTGTTTCTGTGCGGTAATGGAGAGTATATGACCCTCTCTCCACACCTCTCCCTCCAGACAGGCCTCCACTGTCTCTCCCACAAAGTACCGGTCCCTCACAAAATTAAAGACATCCTCAGACATCTCAGCAAAGGAACACCTCTTGGTTCTCATTGCTAGGTACAGTATGGGTATACGGAGCTCCATAGGGAAATCTTTCAGAGCTCTCCGTGCTGTCCTCTCACTGTGAAGGGCTTCTGAGTATGTCAAGTTGTTCTTCCCTGTCATCTCACATGTCCATACCATTGAATTGACGAGAATGATCCTCTCACAGTATTCTCTGCAAATAAACGTTCATCAAACATTGTCTAATTATGATAAAAATTATGACGCGAATGACAGAAATAGCGAAATATTGTGTCACGCTCGCGTTGTTGCGCGACCCGCCGCGCGCTGACAATGCCAACGGTCCCCGTAAACTGATAACTACATTTAAACACAAGAATTTCGCGAAAACTCGGCGATATTATTGTTTACACTAATACTTACTCATAATCTTTGAAAATTTCATCAGTGATCTCGCAATGAAAGACCTCATCGTCATCCCTGAGGTACTCCGACGCCTTTGATTTCTCAAATGCTTTCCTTTTTAACAGAGGCATGTTGTGAGTTCGCGGGTCACCACGGTGGGAAAACGATTTTTAGTCCGTTTCAATTAATCACTTGTATTCAATACCACTTAACTTTGTACGGCGCATCTATCCCCACGTTCCATTGAATAACACATTAGGAAATTGATAGATTTTACAAAATATTTCCAGAGAAAAATGTTGCGTGGTTTCGGTTGACAAGCCAAAAAACGGCGCGCTGAGGCGCTTCTTTTTACGCCAGAAACATATGAACTGGGTTAACACACCATACCGGTTTCTACTAAAATGGTAGAAACGATTTCTACCTATAATCGTTTCATCAGTTTCATATAAGTATAAATAAATATATTTATTATTATTAATGGGCTATGATTCTCATGGTACAGAATGTGAGTTGATGGCATAAACAAAGAGAAAAAAAATTATTTATGCAGTTGCTAGAAAAAAAAATCGATTGCTTTGTGCAGAACTTCACGAGTCAAAGATATGAGTTTATGTACGTACTCCATCTTTAAAACTCCTGAATCTCTTTGATTGAAATTCAGGACGATGATAGTTTGATTTTAAACCCAGGTAAGGAAGTCTAAAAGTTTTCAACCTGGAAATCCTGAGGCCGTAATTTTGTGTTAAAATGCCAGGACTCTACTTTTAAATCAATGAACCTATTTAAGTAAGTAAATATGCGTTACAATTATAGTTTGAGACCTGGAAAACGACATACTTAATTTTATGATAGTTTTTTTTTTCGGAATTGCTACGGCAACGACTTAGGGTTAAAGTCCTGAGACTCATTATCTTAATAAAAATTAATATTCAATTACTTTATTGCGTTCCACAATTTTTTAAATTACAAATATATTAATTATACATATATAAAATACGAATATATTAAAATTATAGTAAATTATTATTTATAAATTATACTATCATCAAAAGTCTTTAAGAGTATAATAATAATATTTTTACCTACCAAATTTTTTTTTCAGTCTCAATACAAAAATATTGGTTTTTTATACCTCTACAATTTCCCTTGGCAGTTTATTGTATATATTTATAGACATTACCATGTATCTGACCAAAAATAATTCAAAAGGCCAATTTCTACTAGAAGACATTTTTTTACGCAGACGAAGTGGCGGGTGATAGCTAGTATATGAATAAATAAACAAATGTTATTTAATAAAAAATGTAGCTAATAATTTTTCAGGTAATTTAAAACAAATGTTTTTTAGTAAGAAGCAGGTTCAACTATTTAAGAACTTCAATAAGGATAAGATTTTCAATGCCATAGGTTAGTTCTTTTCTTTCCCTTTCTTATTTTATATGTTTTCTTTTAGACAATAATTTATTTTTAAGTTGTAAATGTTTTCGTTATTATTTCAGTTATATTTATTTAATAGGTATTTAGTTCTACTTAATATTAAAAAAATAATTTCCCCCTTTGGGTAAAACATTGGTATCCCTTAAAGGGTAGTTAACTTCATTTAGCAATATGGTATCACTAAATAAAAATTCATTCAAGCAATCATTGAATTCGCATGGTATTTTAATATCTTTGTTATTATTGGTCGCAATCGCAGTGAACGCAGTTTTTTAAATCTGTCAAAAAGTAATTTGCGGTTTATGTTATCAATATTGTTTGGTGTGGTTATTAATGTAAAGCTGCAGTAATAACTTTGAATTAATGTTACACGGTGTTCTTTAAATTTATTCAAAATGCCGAAGGAACAATATCGCGAAACTTATATTGGGCGAAAAATGTAAGCGAGGTTATGTTTACTACATCATATGGTATTTTAAGCTATGAAAATTTATTGATTTCTTGTGAAAATATCCTAGTTTTAGTAGTTTTAACTCTTAATTCGATCGCTTAATATGTGTAATTTCGATAAATGTTGTTTAATTTGTGTGGAATGTGGTATTTTTAGTAAATTTTGTGTTCGACAGTTCGCATGTCACGTTCAATGTGGACAGCCCGGCTGCTATCCAGCAAGCTGCCCATATCCAGGTCATCACCAAGAACCTGTATGCTCAGGATGGCCAGAGGGTACCGGCGACTAATGGTGTACTGGACAGGAGAATGGTAAGGCCAATAAACTGTTGAAGCAGTGGTTATTAAAATCCACAAATAAGTAATGTGTCAAAAGAATAATAGCAAAATCGGGTCTAGTATTTGATGATCGCCCTGTAAAAGCAAGTAATAACAAATATTAGGTACACTTTAAGTGTGGGAGAGCCATGCTTCGGCACGAATGGGCCGGCTCGACCGGAGTGATACCACGGCCTCACAGAAAACCGACGTGAAGCAACGCTTGCGTTGTGTTTCGTCGTGTGAGTGAGGTTACCGGAGGCCTAAATATCCTTCCCTTCCCCACTCTCCCCAATTCCTGAATCCCCAACGATCCTCAAACTCCTAACGGCCGGTAACGCACTTGTAACGCCTCTGGTGTTCCAGGTGTCCATGGGCGACGCCGATTGCTTACCATCAGGTGATCCGTCTGCTCGTTTACCGGCTTATGCCATAAAAAAAAAAAATATTTTTTAGAATTATTTTAAATTATTCATAACATCATCATGCCTTTTAACCCTTGAAGGCAGAAGTGCACATTACGGCACTTAATGTCACTGTACAATGTAACACCCACTTGTCACTATTTATGTGATGAATCTCATGAAATAGGGCGTAAGCCTATTGCCATATACCGGGCACATTTCCAGACTCCGTGCTACTACCAAGGTTTTTACAAACCAAAAAATTGTAGACATCATTTTTGACAGTACAGCGATGGGATGGGACATATCATCTCTTCCTAGATTAGCACTACCTGCTGAGCAAAAAGACAATAACAGAAATGAGATCTTGCATTTTTATAGAATAAATTTTAAAATGATAATGTGAAACATTTTCAAATAACTAATTTTTTACCACTAGGCGAGATGTCAAAGTCAAAGCATTTATTTCAATTAAACCATAATTTTGTACTTTTGAAACGTCAACAAATACAAAATAAATAATAGTCTGTCAGTCAGTCCGTCAGTGAAGCTAGGTGAAGCTAGGTGGTCATTCCAAAATGTAGATTTGAATGGAGAAAAACGAGGAAGAAACTCCATTCGTTACTCTTTTTAAAAAAGTATGTTCTACAATGTCTCTGATACATATCCCAATGCTGTACGTATATGTGAGAACAATGCAAAGACATGCTTGACGCATTATTCGTACTAATTACAATACTTACTAAAATAAAAAATCTTATAGTCTAACATGGTGCTCACATATGCATACTGACAATCCATAAGAATTGTGCTTCTATATGATGGTAGCCAATTACCAACATTTGTTTTAAAAATAAATATAATAGATGAATATATTTGTTAGTTGACTGCACGGTTGGTGCGGTGGCTGGGCAACCGGCTGCCGTGCAACGTGTCGCGGGTTCGATTCCCGCACGGAACAACACTTTGTGTGATCCATAAATTGTTGTTTCGGGTCTGGGTGTCATTGTGTATGTGAACTTGTATGTTTGTAAACGCACCCACGACACAGGAGAAAATCCTAGTGTGGGGCAACGTTTTTTTTCAAAAAGAAAAAAAAAAGAAAAGTTGTATGTTTAATTGCCCTAAATCCCATCAAGTGGGTAATATGATGTTATGTTATTCAGGGTACAAATCAGAAGGATGCCAACTGTGACACATGCGGGCTGGGCCTGGCAGAGTGTGTCGGACACTTTGGGTACATACAGCTGGCCCTGCCCGTCTTCCACATCGGATACTTCCGATCTATCATTACTATTCTACAGACCATTTGCAAGGTGAGTTCCGATATTGTTACGTATAGTATTTTGTTTCTTAATTAAAGATAATATCGTAATTAGTAGCATGGTTTAATGTGATACAATTTGATTTTTGAATGCATTATTCTTGGATTTTGTTATTAAATTCTGATTCTCACACTCATTCTCCAAATTCTCATTGTCACACTCATTCTCCGTAAGTGAATTATGTATGTGATTGTTCAAGAGAAATAAGGATATTCTTATTACTATAGTTATTAAAGAAAAAGTATGATAAATTAGAATGTTGCTATTAAAAAAACAATGATTAATAAATTTATTGTATTCCACAGAATTGTTCACGAGTAATGCTACCGGCAATTCTGAGAAGGGCTTACTTGCGTAAATTCATGAATCCTGAACTGTCGTACTTGCAAAAAAAGAACCTTCGGACTGCAGTCCACAAGAAGGCGAAGGCTTGCACTAAATGTCCTAACTGTGAGACTTTGAACGGCATGGTAAAGAAGAGTCCGGCTGGCATCCTCAAAATTATCCATGACAAGTATCGTACTAAGAAGCCTACCGATGGTGTTGTCAAGCGAGTGCTGAAGGACTTCCATGAAGCGAAGGAGTCTAACAAAGAGCTGACGACTATGATCAACAGCGGACTCGTTGTTGAGATGAGTCCTGTGGAGGTATGTTCACATGAAGGAAGTGGTATAACTTCTTTGTTAATTTGTTCTTTCGGTTTATTCATCAATAAAGATCATGATGTACAGTGGCAGGCCTACTCATACGTCTTAATTGCATTAGATTATCGACTTTATACGAAAACAATACAGTCGAAAATCTAATGAAGAATTTTGACAGAATGCTAGTAACTTGTTGCCTAACACTGTACGTAAGATCAGCTGTTCACAATCTTTAGTTTAAGGGCTGTATTTTACCGAGATGGTATAAGCTGGTTGCGCAACCAAGTGGACAGCAGGTAAGTAACTATAGAGCTGTATACATTTTGTTGGTAGCGGCGACTGGTGGCGCCACCATAGTATCCAGGTGAACATAACAT